ATAAAGTTATAAAAACAACAAATATTTTATTATTATTAAAGTCCACTAAGACAGCACATCATCATTCTCACATATATTCTTTATAAAAATAATTAAAAAGCAATAATGCTTAATGATGTGCTATTGAAATTAGGGCACCAGGGACATTGCATCTGGATTACACTGCCTGAACTTAAAATGTTACAGTATAAAATCTTGCTGAGGAGATAAATGTATTTCATTGGTTCATTCATTCATTTGTTCAACAAGTATTTATTGTGTACCTATAAAATGGTATAACATATGTTGTACTATCAACTTTTGATAAGTATGAACATTAATTTATTGCATTTTTTACTCATGTAGTCTATTATTATAAGTGCCACTAAACCATCATTCGTCTAGATATACTTAATAAATTCAATGATGAACCTCTTAAGAAAAATCCCATAAAATGTTCTCAAAATGCTGTCCCTGGGGCCAATTTTTATTATAGAAAATGCACATTAAAAAATGGAGGGCAGTGGGCCACATCGACATCTCACTTTCTCCCAAATGTTTCAAAAGAACACATTACTGTGCTGCATTTGAACCCTTTCTGTGTGAGATTTCTTTTTCAAAATAGATATTTTCAATATTGAAAAAGAATAAAAAGACAGGCTGGAAATTGCATCCTTTGAGGCTTTTGAATAGTTCTATTGCAGAATTAAGCCTTAAGGCTCTAAGCCTTCTCGCTTTGCCTTCCACTTAATAAATCCTTTTCCACTTCAGGACCCTTTGCACTGGGGTTCCCTCTGCCAGCAATGCCTTACCCTGAACATGTCCATGGCTTTGTCCCTCTCTGCACTCAGGTCCTTTGCTCGAATATCATCTCCTCTGGCAGGCCACTCCTCCGTCACTCTCCATTCTTTTTCCTGCTGCAATAGACTGTTAATGTGAATCTGCTTTGAACCATTGTGCTTGAAATAACAAAAAGAAATTCGTGTGTAATAGACTCAGCATTAAGATGGTCCCATAACATGAATCCTGAAGCAAATTGTAACGTTACTCGTCCTTATAGATCAATAAAGGCTCTATTTCCAGACCTAATGACATCTAGTGGTTTGGAAACTATTTTCATCTTAATGTTAAAAGATACTACTTTTATTAAAAATCTCTTGGAGGTCCAATGACATTTGCTGATTGAAACTGAAAGGAGATATTCCCTCTCAAGCACTAAAAATGTGGCTTTGAAAGTTGGATAGACCTGGCCTCACGTTTCAGGTCAGCAACTAACTAGCTCTGGGAGCATGCCACTGACACGACTCTCACTAACAGCACTAAAACCCTTCTTTTGGTTTAATCTAATAGACACATTCTAGTTCTTATGTTATTGGATCACTCTGAATCGTTTGATGCAGATGACAACTATTTGTTTTCCAGAAATTTTGTTTTCTTTCCACAGTTTTGGCTGCTGCTTATCAATCACCTCTGCAGACTCTTCTTTTCTTTTGTCTTTCAAATATTGATGATCCTCAGAGTTCTGAATGAGGCACTGCCTTCTGTCTTGGTGCTACGTATCCTCCGCTCTCATGCAGATTCCAGTGCAGCTTACAGCTGCCTCTTAAGGTCCAGGTCCTGGTGAACAACTGTCTACTCAATATCACCAAATAAATTTCCCAGAGACGCTTCAAATGGATCGTGTCTAAACAGGAACTTGGCATTTCCTTCATACCCAGCCTGCACTCCTTTAATCCCTGTGCCAATAAAGACATCATGATCCATTTTGTCACCCATTTCATAAACCGGTATCATCCTTCACTCCACTCTCACCGGCACCCTTCCCTTCTCTGATCAATCACCACATCTGCCATAGCTGCCTCCTATGCAGCTCTGAAATCCGTCCATGTCACTTCATCCCCACCGTCCTTACCCTAGTTCAAGGAAAAAAGGCATCTCTGCTCTGGATCACCTCTAGAGAAGAAAGGCTTTAATCCTGTGGCAATGTGATGGGAAATAGCTAATGAGCCATTTTAGGTATTTAGAATAAATTAACGTTTTACTCTAGTCATTTCTGACTCTCAGGGAGGGTGAAAGTCAAACCCCCAAAGGCCTTTCTTAGGAGTCAGAGACTCTGGGCCTTGATAAGGTTGCTTCACTAATTAATGCTAAAGCAGAAAATAAGGGCATTTAACATTTGGGGGGCACTGACTGTGATATCCAAGTGACCCTATACAAGCCCCAAAACAAATCTAGTCAATCTGATTCCACTTGTTCTAAAGTTGCTTAAACTAAGAATGTTAGCAGTTATGATTTAATAAGAGATTTAGGATTACACTATTTATAATAAAATGTCAATACTAGTTATTGTCCTTTGTATTAATAAAAATGTGACACCTATGCCTCTTGTGACTGACCTGAAAGCATGTTATATCCTACATTGTTTAAAGTATATTATGTTTTAGAAAGAGTTAGTTTAGTAGCTACTCTTACAATTCAATAATAATAATAAAAAGACAATCTAATTAAAAAATAGGCAAAAGATCTGAATAGACATTTCCCCCAAATAAGATATACAAATGGCCAATAAGTCAATGAAAATATGCTCAACGTTGTTAGTTATTAGAGAAATGCAAATCAAAATCACAATGAGATAACACTTCACATCCATTAGGATGGCTATCACCCATAAAATGGACAATAACAAGTGCTGGTAAGGATGTGGAGAAATTGGAACCTTCATATATTGCTGGTGGGAATGTTAAATGGTGCAGCTGCTTTGGAAAACAGTTTGGCAGTTTCTCAAAATATGACCATTGACCCAACAACTCCACTTCTAGGTATATACACAGGAGAAATGAGAACATATGTCTACACAAGAAAACTTGTACACAAATGTTCATAGCAGCATTTTTCATAATAGCCAGAAATTGGAAGCAACCCAGATGTCCAAACAACCCAAATTATGACTGGAGAAATAAAATATGGTAAATCCATACAACAGGTATTATTCAGGCATAACACAGAGCAGATTCCTAGTACATGCTACGACAAGCATGAACCCTGAAAACATTATGCTAAGTGAAAAAAGCCACACACAAAAGGCCACATATTGCACGATTCCATTCATGTGAAATGTACAGAATATGCAAATCAATACTAACAGAAAATAGGTCATTGGTTGTGTAGGGCTCAAGAGTGCTTGGAAGAGAAAGGAGATAGGGAATTACTACAGATGGATAAGCATTTTGGGGAGGCAGGGAACAAAATGGGTCTAAAATTAGACTGCGGTGTAGTTGCCATACTCTTGCTAGGCAAAAAAAAAAAAATTAAAATTAGATTGTGACAATGATTGCACAACTCTGTAAATATATTTCAAAACACATTGAATTGTACACTTTGAATGGATGAATTGTATGGTATGTTAATTGTATCTCAATAAATCTCAAATTTCTTTCAGCAAACAAACAAAAAGAAATAGTCACTATACAAACCTGTTTGTTAATAGTGTTGGCTAGAAACGCATTTGACTGCAAGTGTCAAAACTCAACTGATAGCAACTTAAGCCAAAGGAGTTTACTTTTCTCCCAAAACAAGAAGCCCAGAGGTAGGTGATTACTCTTCGCTCTGCTGCTCCACACCTTCAAGGATCCAGGCTTCTGGATCTGTGGATCTTCAGGTTTGACACCTGGTGATTGCCAGATGGGCACTGCAGCTCCAAACATCACGATCAAAGCTGGAACAACAGGAGAAGAACAATACCAGTCACTCCTGTGCCGTTACCAAGGAAGCAAAGCTTTCGAAGACACACCCAGATGACTCCCACTTACATCTCATTGGTCGGAAGGATGTCACGTGACCGCCTGTTGTATGGGAGGCTTAAAAAGTCAGTAATTGTCACATGTCATTCCCCAAACAAAGTAAGAGTTGTGTAGGCAATGGAGAAGGAGGGCAGAGATGTTGGGTGGAGAAATAGCATCTGCCCAGCATCTCTTTCCATGCACATACCTTGAAAACCCTTTTAACACAGAATTGTGTTAACAATCTTAATTTTTATTTTTTTTTAAGATTTTTATTGGGAATTGGGGATGGGAACAGCACAGGGGAATTGAGGAAAGGGGAACAGACAAGTTGCTGTTGTTTTGTTCTTCAGTCTAGTTGTGGAGGACATTGCTTCACTGGCCCAAGCTGGCACCATCATTGCGCTCTTTCCGGGCGAGGCAGATCAGTCACCAGCTTCTGGACAGCCGCTCACTGAGGCTGCTGGCAGCTCACGCTGTCTGCTGGCTACACACGGTAGCCCATGGCAACCCACTGCAGCTTCACTGCAGCCTACGCCGTCGCCGGCGACTTACGGCAGCCCACGGCAGCCCAGCTCCAGGTTGAGCTGTTGTTCAGCATGTTAGCTGTAGAGGGCAGTGTCACTGGCCCTCATATGTGGGATCCGAACCGGTGCCCTCTGGCGTCCCAAGCCAGCTGTCAACCATCGCGCCACTCGGCCAGCCCAACAATCTTAATTTTTAAGAAACACAACATTTACATTAATGCCCTGGTTGGAACATGATGTAAGCGAATCACCCCTCCTTTCATTTTGACTCATCCCTTTCTTGGCCACTGGGATGGCTTTCTTGCCACCGAGGCCACCTTCTGGACGCTTCATTTCCTAACCAGACAGTTTGAGTGTATGCTGACTAAAGAAAAAACAAAACAAAAAATATCCTGGCCACACGCAAAATGTTCTCTGATTTTATAAGGAGGGGAGACAATTGATTTCTCTTTCCATAATCCACTTGCGTCACACCCTTCAATTTCTCCCCAACTCAACACACAGACATACAGAAATCCCTTTTGTTTTTCTCTCCAGAGAGTCAGCTTCAGTCTCTCTTAGGGCTGCTCTCTGCACCTGCCCCCCTGGTGGTTTGCTCAGAGGTACATTCTGATATTTCAGCCATGTGAAAATAGTTCTAACCCTACAGAAAAAGCAAGATATGATGGGGTTGTGGGCTATTACCAGTTACACAGGTAGCAAGGTCAGAAACTGCTCTGTTTCAGATCTTGATGTGGGCCTGATGGTTTCCACCATCCTATTTGGTAGTTTATCTTTTATTCAGGAAATGCTATGTGTCAAACACCGTGATAAATGCTTAGTATACATTACTGCTGTTGCTCTCATTATCCTCTGAGGTTAGGATGCAAGACCCAAGGTAACGTAGCTGAGTAACATTCCCAAACTCACACAACTAGTTAGTTGCAGACCTGGATTTGAAGCCAGGTTTGTCTAACTAAAAGCCACATTTATAGTGCCTGAGAGGGAAAATCTCGTTCTACTTGACTTTCAAATCAATCAGACCTCCACAGATTTTTAACAAAAATAATACTCTTTAATATTAAGATAAAAATAGTTTTAAAACCAGTGGGTGTCATTATGTCTGGAAATAGAATCTTTATTGATGTATAAGGATGAGTGATGTTATAATTTGTTTCAGGATCCATGTTATGGGGGCATCTTAATGTCTATTGCACATGAATTTTGTTCTGTGATTTCAAACACCAGAGCCCCAAAGCAGATTCACATAAACCCTTTCACAAAATAAAGAGGAAGGAAAACTTACCAGCTTGTTTTATGAGGACAGCAAAACTCGGATACCAAAACCTGAAAGCCCCTTTTTGAAAAGAAAAGAAAATTACAGACCAATGTTTTTCATGAACACGGATTCAAAACTCTTCACAAAGTACTAGCCAATGGACTTGAACAACACAGAGTAAGGACAACAGTTTATGACCAAGTAGAGTTTGTCTTAGGAACACAAAGTTGGGTCGACATGAGAAAACCAATCAAGGCAAATTCACACTGAATGAGAGAGGAAGAAAACACAATCATCTCAATAGAATGCAGAAAAGCATTTGACAAAATTCAATCCTCATTCCTGCTAAAAATCGCAGAAACTAGAAATAAAAAAGAATTGTCTCAATCATTTAGGACAATGGCTAAAATACAATAGGGATGTATTAAATGCTTTCCTCATAAGATTAGGAATAATACAACGCTATCTGCTCTTACCACTGTTATTCAACATTGTATTGGCATTCTAGACAGGGCAATCAAATGTCACTACATTTTTTAAAAGGAGTTGTAACTTTTGCATTGATGTACTATTTGCGCTGTTATTTTGAGGCTATACAGTCTTGCATCTGTCAGCTCACCCATCTGATCCACAAAATTATGGATTAAGGACACTGCACCACTAAAACAATTTTCAATGAGATCAGATAGTTATTTTTTTTTAATTAAAGTTTATTGGGGTGACTGACAATGGTTAGTTAAGTTACATAGGTTTTAGGTGTACAATTCTGTAAGACATCATCTATATATCACGTTGTGTGTTCACCACCCAGTCAGTTCTCCTTCCATCACCATATATTTGGTATGGGATTATTTTGAAAGCACTTATGTTCCTGTATGTTTGTGCAGCAGGAGGAGTAAGAAAAATATTGCCTCCAACAATAGACTGACTTTACTGCATCGGTGTAATTTGTTTCAAAACACCATTACAAATATTGTTTGATATCGCTGACAAGTGTTTATTTGAAATATTCAACAGCTGCTTACCAAGTCTTCTTCAGCTGTATAGGCATCATCTTTCGCTCATGTGGTTCCTGCCCTCCTTTATTCTTATTGTACTTCAGCGGAAGCCCCATGCTCATTCATTTCTAAGCCGTTCCTCCTGGGCTTATTATTGACTGAAGAAAAAAACATGGGAGTGAGCTGGTACAACAGGCAAATTCAAGAGCTACATGTTTTTCTCAGATGTTGTTCCAGCATGCTGGGTACTCTCCAGTACATCTCCACACTCTCAGCATTCTTCGTTCCACGTAAATGACTTTTATATGATAACCTCATTTACTAATTCAGCTCAGTGATCAGGCACAGAGTTGACTGTCACTTACTCTCACTGCTTCACCATGTCACAGCAACCCTCTTCTCCATGAAATGATGGCTTTGCTTTCCAGCTCCTTCACTCTGCCTCCCCGGCCCCTCTAGGAGAGGAGAACGAAGTTCAGGGTTTCTTCTTAAGCCTGTCTACATCCACGACTTTGCATTCCACTGAAAAGATTGTTCTTTGCACTCTTCAAGTCTGAGCCATCTATTTTGGGGAACCCTGAACACTGCTCAAAAATAGAGGGATATATATATATATATATATATATATATATATATATCCTTGTCACATTTTTCCCTCGTCTGATGTTACTAAATTTGTCAGTTATCCTTTAGCATTAGGATTGGGAGTGGTTCCTATTTCCACTACAGGTGTTTTCTACTCTTTATTTTTAACCTTTGTGCTGCTATGAATTCTTTCAAAGATGGGAATGGGGTACAACTTCCTTTCCTCTATCACCTTTTAACCACAATTCCTTCAAATTAGCAATCTGAACTCTCATTGACACTACAAACGTTCTAATCACAGTTGACTGAGCACAATGGGAATGGGAGTGTGCCGTTTCTCCACATCCCCACCTCCCTGGCGTAGGTGCCACATGGTGCCTCTGGCCACACAGCACTGGGACTGATTTACTCTCATAACCCTTCTCAGCCCAGCTTTCCAGGTATCTGATGGATGGATGAAAGTGGGCGCATGACAAGAAAATCATTTTTTATTCTGTGTCTACATTAGTGATTCTTGCATGAATAAATCATTGACTTGTGAAATTCTTCCTTCGCAACTTCAAACGGTGCCATTTGTCCAGTTTATCTTAGGGAGATTTTCCAATGACATCACTGGCGGATTATCTTTACTGATGTTTGGACTCCCAGAATTCCAACTTGATTCATAGTCTTGACTTCCAGCATGGTCTACAGTCAGAGCAAGTTTTTAAAACTTCTGACTTAAAGGCACAGATGTGTTCTTAGAGAAATTTGAGAGGAGCATTACCAGAGGCTAACCCTAAAGTGTCTCTTTGTCTGTGAGCCAGAGTCTAGTAAGTTCCACTTTCACCACTCTTCACAGACTCTCAAGGTTTTCACTAGAATTTACAATCTGCAAATGGATGGAACGAATTACTGAAATAAACCAAATTTCCTATTTATTCTGGACTGCTTAAGATTAGTTAAACTTCTAGCTTTGGATTTATAGCTTATGCTCTCTGAAAAACACATGTAATTTTGGACATCACCGCTGAATGACAATCCAAAAACTCTGCATGTATTCTCTATGTAAAGATAATTTTAAAATAAGGTAAGTTTAATTGGATACTACCCAGTGAAAATGCTGCAAGTTTTCTCCCTCCTCATGGAAGGGAAAGGAAGCTTCCTCCTCACCTTAAGCCAATTGAAGGTTCAAATGAACCATTTGAAAAGCTAGTATACATTCTCTGGAATTTGAGGGACATAGAGACAAGTTACCTGATCCATGAACAAATAAGCAAAGGTAAGTGTAGCCAGAGCTGCATATAGAAGAGAAAGTTTGTATCAAGAGTAAACTACATGTGCATTGACAGCTGTGCAGAGTGGCCTGTCTCCCATGGATTAGATACAGATCCTATCTAATGGCACGGAGCTGACTGATATACCTATCAGCTGGCCACGAGTTCCACCAACGTCTCCTGACAAGAGTGAGCAGCTTCAATGACAAGAGGATTGAGGCATCCTGTGGATGCAGGTGATGAAACCGGCCCCATGGAAGCAGCATCGCTCATGCCAGGAACTGCAGGCAAAGATCTCCAGGGGCAGAAGCACCCCAGGGGAAAAGGTAAGCCTTGCGTTCCATCATGTTCAGTTGGTACGATCACCACATTGTAACTTTACCAGTCCAGAAGGACTTTTTCTGTCCCTTACCTCTTCCTCCTCTATTCTAATATTAAAGGGCGCCGACATCGCAACTATTAAGTGGAGAAGGCAGTGAAACAAGAAAAGGAAAAAGTCAGATCAAAACCCCTCCTTAACCATCCTTTCAGTCCTCTAAGCCTGGGGCAGACCTAAGCTGGGGAATAAGAGGTTTTAAACTGGATAGAGCTTTGGACTTTTGATGTTCATCTGCACTGTACTTTTCATTATTTAGTGAGACAGAAAACCCTTGGGACCTGAGAGTCTGTCCCAGAGACTGGAGATAACTAATCCAAAGAACAAGTGAAGAATAAAGGCGCTTTCTGCTTCACTCTACTGAGCGCAGCTCATTCAAAAGCCAATTAAATAAGTTTAGTCGCCATGAGTAGGAAGAAACCCACAGTAAGGAAAATTTCTGAGTTAGGCATGTTGGGAAAACAGGGTGACATAACTGTAGGCTCTTTTAATATGAAAAGTAAAGGTAAACAAAGCCTCCTTCATCAATTTCTGAATACCCTATGTCAACAGAAGATTAGAGATTCATAGACAAATAATAACATATATTCCACTATTGGGCATCTTTATCAAATTTTTCCAAATTACCTCTAATAATTTTTATCATCTAATCTCAGGATAGGGAGACTGTGACCTATGAACTGCAGAGCTTCCCAGGTGACTACTTGTTTTTCTTTTTTTCTGAAGCTGAATTTGAGGAGGAAACCTGTAAAAAGGTTCAACTGTGGTCAAATAAACAAAGTTTCTACCACCTTTGCAGTAAGCTACCAAGTCCAACCAGAATAGGAGATAAAATGAGTCAGAGATGAAATATAGTGGGCGTTTTTACATCAGCATGCCCTGGTATCATAGATCCAGGAATATTTAAGACATGTCCTAAACTTATCATCGAAACAATCTTTTTGAACACACGGTGGAGAGCTATGAAGCCTAACGCCGGAGAAGGGACCCAGGTAGGGCCTACCTTTAAAGGAGAAAATAAAGTAAGAACCCTAAAAATTATAGCCTGGTCACCTTAACTTTAATACCTGAAAAGACCAAACTCATCAATTATTTCACTTAGAAAATACTAAGGGATCACAGGGTGCCAGTGAAGAGTAAGCGAGACTTCAGGAAGGGATAAATCAGTCAGGCCTATGTGATATCATCCCATGACAGGCTGCCAGGCATCAATGGAAAGGGAAGAAAAAAGACTTTAATCCCAGTCTTAAAGGACACGCTCATAAATAAAGCTGGGAAAATGTTTTCAAAGTGCATCACTGTATGAATTCTCAACTTATTAGAAGGCAAAACAGATGGAGTTTTCTTCTCCCCTTTTCCTTCCTGGAGAGAGAACAACAAGAAGGATGGTTAAACTTTAATTAAATATATGGGGCAGGAGTGGGGGACCTCCACCCCATTTTTGTAAATTGGGATGGTATCATTCATTCTGTAATTAGAGAAAATGCATTTTCTGCAATATCCGTTTGTAAATGGCTTGGCAGATGGATGTATTTTATGCTACGTTAATCCAAAAAAAATCAAATGCAAGGGGATGTTGCTCCCAAGAAAAAAAAATGAGATTTCAAGGGTTTCAGAAAAAAAGTAAGCTCGCTTGCGGAAAGCAGGGCAGGAAGAATAAAACTAGAGGACTTCGTGGGAGCTGAGCAAGTTTTTTTCATACTGAGGAATGCAAAGAAATTTGATCCGTGTGGACAGAATCACAGGAGGACAGGAATTGGGTATAGTATTCCACTGACTTTGAGACAGCTTTGACCCGAAGCTAAAAAAGAGTGCTCCCACAGAGGCCTTGAGGGAATTACTGAAATTGTGAGGTACTATTCTGTAAAGTCACAGGATTTTCCACAAAGGTCCCCTTGACTGAAACACGGCATTGCTGTGATAATGCCTCACGAGTCTTTCTCACCAATGGGAGCCTTTCTTTCCCCCAGTCCCTCATTCACCAGGCAAGGGGAGGTACAGCTCTGAGTGGTCCTTGCTCTAAACTGTTCCATCAGCAACTCGTAACAGCTTTTGGCCACTCTTATGACCGATGCTTACAGGTCACGCCACCACTCCTGACAACTTGAATCAATGACCTAGTCCTTCTACTCATCTGATCCCCTACCCAATCCCAGTCCCATTCTTACTGACTTAACACCTAGCACCCTGGCTACAAAATTCCTCAGTTCTAATGACATCTACTGACAGTAGATGTCAGTACAGTTACCTTGTTTCAGTTACAAGATGGCACAGACACACTTTGGATTTATTATATTTATAAAATTGCTTCAGCTCCAAATTCTTAAAGTCTGGGTTTCCCCTAGACAAGACTTTCATTCCCTCACTTGCATTAAACTCATTCTTAAACTTCATCGAGATCCCTGAACCTTGGACAGTAGAGTAAACAAAACTAAATACAAATTTCAATACACACTTTCACATTTACAGGCCTTAAGACTTGATAATCCAAGTTACTCCACAAACCTCAGGCTATTTCTTGGTACAGCAACAGGCCACCATCACCTGATACGACTCAACTCACCATTAAAAACCCATGACAGGGGCCGGCCAAGTGGCTCGTTGGTTAAGAGTTGGCTTGGGAGCACCAGCTCTGAGCAGCAGGGCCCCAGTTCAGATCCCACATGGGCCAGTGATGCTGTGCCCACTACAGCTAAGATGGTGAACAACAGCTCGACCTGGAGCTGGGCTGCCGTGTGTCGCCGGCGATGGCATAGGCTGCAGTGGGGCTGCAGTGGGCTGCTCTAAGCTACCGTGAGCTGCCAGCAGCTGCCCGTGAGCCTCTGTGAGTGGCTGTCTAATGAGCGGCAACCAATCTGCCTCAGCCAGGAAGAGCGCAATGATCACAATATCAGCATGGGCCAGTGAAGCGAAGTCCTCCACAACTAGACTGAAGAACAAA